GCTGATACTGCGAGGCTCCCTTTTATCGGACGTAGGTTTTTAAGCTGTTTCCATGGTACAGTATACGGGCAGCCGGGTATCACGTCAGTACATGCAAGATTAACTCTTGCATGTTATTGCTTCAACAGTGCGTCGCCCGTGTCCGTAATCATGTACCATGGATACGCACCTTCCGTAAGCATTTGCTTATACGAAGCCTTGATAATATGGACTTGATAGCTTTTGATTCGAAATTCCTCGAGGTGTCCTTTTAAGGTTCTTTTTTTCAAAAAATCAACACGTAATTATGCGATACTTGAATTGACTTTTTTTGTAAATATCGATACTTTACGATTCTTGCGTTTACGTCACTAGGCACTTCTCTACGCTGAACACCGTTAACGTACGATTTGATCTGTGAGACGGCATAGCTTTTACTGGTCGAGTCAAGAGCACTTGTGTCATATACTCGTAGGTATGTACCGTTGCCTCATAGCGCCTGAGTGACAACTCAACATTCGTGACCCCTAATATGAACATGTACACTGCTGTAAAAAATGTTTCTATGACGATAAGCTAAAAAATACCTTTTAATGTTTTAAACGTAAAATATTCGTTAATGTATTCCAGATTGAAAATGAACGTGAGATTTTTTTTAAGTTAATCGGGAGTATAGAATAAATATGTGAGAAGTTAACTGTTACAATACAAATAATATGTATTATCAAGGCTTTGTAACAAAATGAAATCATTTTATTTAACAAATGGTTTCGTGTATAATTTATTAGATTGTTGGTTTGCTGTATGTTGGTCATGTACAGTCATCTGCAGAAATAATAGCAATGATTTATAAACGAAAACATTGAAGTTGCGCGTCACTGTACACGGTGGTACATCGTCAACGCTTACGCTAGATATTGCTAAACGATCGATTTAAATAAAAGAAAATTTATATTTTATTTTTGAATATAATATAATAAAATATAGAAAACAAAAATAAAATAACATTCTTAAATTAAATTGAATTTACATTTTTAATTGTAAAATTATTTTCATCTCAGATTTTAAATTGCATTTCTTTTTATAAATTAAAAAATAGTTTTGCCAATTTATTTTATAAGTAAACAATTAAATGAGCATTTAATTTTAGAAGAATTCGGAATTCAAATTGTATTTTACGTTACAAATCGATCTTTTAGCAGATGTACCGAGATTATCAGATCAGTCTGTATAAAAACGTATTGGTCATCTCTATTTATTTCATAGGAGTGATAGAGATGGCAACATGTTTTTCTACATGTTTATCTACAGTGGAAACACCGTAAGAAATACTATTGTCTGTTTCACATCCCGTCTCGTTGCATATTGTTCTGGCACGTTTTCACGCATTTTGTTTTCTTAGTTTTGACCATTTTCGTTTTTCGTAAGCTTATTTTGTTTCGCTTTTGTTTTGTGTGTTCTTTTGTTTTGCTTCTTTGTCGCTGTTTTGGGTTTTAGATAATGTTGTGTCGAATTTCGATGTAACACTTGTTTGCATGTTTTTAAAATAAGTGTGTTTACTGCAAAACGAATTGCCTATTATTTTACACGCAGATTTTACATAAAAGGTCGTTAGTGGGTGTTCAGAAATAGATACATGGATTGAGGTCGCCGCACCTGCCTTTAATATATTTTAATCGATATAACGTCTAATTATAATACTGTCTGTAACTCACATTCCCACCCTTATATTATTATATTAGAATATCGATCTTGAACATGGCCGTCGCCAGGGCGTTAATATACGTTGTTACATATTGTTATTACGGACAAAGTTGACTAAACTAGAACTAAGAAAAAAAACCTTTATAATGAGAAAAATAGAAAAAAATGACTCGTCTTTGATATAACTAGTGTCTAATCTTACTAATATTATAAATGCGAAAGTTTAGATGGATAGATGTTTGTTAGAGTTTGTAGACGATTGAACGGATCTCAAATCTGGCAAAGACGTAGAGGATAGATAGATAGAAGGGTAGTCTGGAAGAACACAGGCTACTCTTGTTTTCTTAATTCCACGCGAACGGTGTCGTGGGCGAAAGCTAGTAAATAAATTCTGAATTTTCGACCTTAATAATGTTAAATCCTTCATATTAGCCACTGTTTATGTCATACGTCACTCTTGAGGTAATCTTATTAGATCTAATTGGATGTGAAGTGGCACAGTGGGTGAACTGACAGCTGTTCTAGGAAACCTTTAAAAACACAATGACCTAAATATTAATAAATATCAATATTATCTTTGTATAGGAAGATTAAAAGTTTGACTAAATCAAAAATAAATAAATAAATGAAAGCTTTACTATTTCACTCTTAATATATATTTCATGAGAGCCTTGGCTCCTGTATTAGGTCCCCCTGTGCTGCAGAAGCCAATCTCTCTCTACATTTGTGAAAAGCAATACATTAGTATCGAAACAAAAAACAAAGAAAACGATACATTTAGCATGTCATAAAATTAACAGAAAAAATGTTGTTTTAATATTACGTGAATAAATAATATAGTGAGATCACGTATGATAGAGTTATTTGGAGGACAATAAACTGTTGAGTCGACCCTTCGGGAGTAGGATAAGGTTGTTGTTGTTGTTGATGATGATGATGATGAATGAAAATTGTGCAATAAAGTGTTCGTAATTGTGCTTTTAGGAATCTTTTCAACCAAACATCGTTTGTCACACTTACAGAGAAAAATATATTAAGAAAACAGGACAAAAACGTTAATCAATAATTTCTATACTACGAATAGAGGACTATAAAAAATGCTGCATTCAATTTCTTTATTACATTATATTAGGTGCAAATAAAATTGAATCTAGACTACGAAGTCGATAGCTCGGATCTAGTCTGATTGGCGGACCCGTTATGCGGAAATGTATTACGTTTTTAATTTACATTTAGTATTTTAAATAATTACACTTATTATTATTATTAACAAATTAGTTTTAATTTAAATTTAATTTAGCGTATTCATTTATTACTATTTCTATGTAAACAGTGTGCTTTTAATGCTTTTGTCGGCTAAACGGTTAAACGGGTCTCGATAAAATTTGGCATAGATGTAAAGTATAGTGCGAAAGAACATAGTTATAGGCATATTAAGTTTTGTTATTTTCGCGCCAACTGCTAAATATATCTCAAAAGCTATCTATACTACTCGTATTATAATAAAGCGTAAACACACACTTCTTTGTTACCAGCAATTACAGCATATTTTTTAATAATTCTTTTTTTTTTAATAAAAAGCCCTATACTTACGTCACGCTTTAGGCTATATATTTTTACGCCATTAAACTAAGGGGGTAAATGTTTTGGATAAAAACCCTAATGTTGAAAAGAGACCATAATTTGCTGCCAACATCAAGGAAGCAAGGTTGCCATGGATTGTCGTAATGTCATGTCACTTTGACATTTGCAATTGATAATTTGACACATGTAAACAACGTTATAAATTTTTTATAATTTTATGCGAATGAAGTCGCACGGGAACAGCTAGTTTTTAATAAATGTTGGCATTCATGCATAAAATGGTCCAATATTACAGTGAGGAATTTCTAAAATTTTTGCGAATTTCGTGTGTTCAATTTTAATTTTGAGAATCTTCAATATCCATTCAACGTCGAATGCTGATAAATGCTGGAAATGTTAGCTTCGCGAGAGATTAAATTTCATGGAAATTTTGAACTTTTTCCCATTCATTGTCTTCCAACATTCAAGAATTCAATGATTTTATTGTTTGGTTCCCGTTTACTAAGTTAACAATGTAACGATGATAAAAGTAACTTAAAGAACATTCATATGTAAAATGCTTGATATGTGCATTGAAATATAAATGCCCTTTAAATTTAAAATATCAGATCGAGTGGTTTACCTTCGAATTTACTCGAACTGGCTTCTTTGGAATTATGGATATTGCACGTCTGATTTAAAAAACAACTTCCGTTTTATTCTGTTGCTCTTTGGTGTAAATTTCTCATACTTAACTTACCCTGAGGGTATATGAGAAAACGACGTCACATATACGATGAATTTCATCGAATTGACGAACTTGACAGAAAATTGGCCTTTTAGCATTTTTCGTCTTAATTAGTAGTTACTAGCTGTTCCCGTGCGGCTTCAACCGTATGCAATTATGAAAAAAATATTTTATTGTTTACATTTGTCAAATTATCAATAGCAAATGTTGAAATGACATGACATGACAAACCTTAACAAACTTTCTTTCTTGATATTGGCAGCAACTTATGGTCTGTTTCCCACATTAGGGTTTTTATCCATAATACACCCTAAGTTTAAAGGCGTGAAAATATATAGCTTCAGCATGAAGTAAGTGTAGGACTTTTTATTAAAAAGAGAATTTTTCAAAAATGTGCTGTAATTTCTGACATCTTAGGCAACAAAGAAGTGTATGTTTACGCTTTATTATAATAGTATAGATTGAAAATAACTTGTCTATAATGAGCTATTGGTATTATTAGTTTGTTACTTGTGTATACCTTTAACTGATAAAGATATCTACGTAAAAACATGAATTTATAAATAGCTTTCTAATGAACTCATTAAATGTGTCAATAGTTTTGCAGCGTCATTGACTACCTTTTGTACACGTCTTTCTAACTATTCAAAAATATCTGTATGTTCATATGATCTTGGAGGAATTTGTTAGGAACAATCTTATTTATAAAAGAGAAAGTTTAGATGGATGGATGTTTGTTAGAGCTTATACTGCGGAACGGATCTCTATGAGATTTAGCATAAATGTAGAGGATAGTCTGGAAGATTTTTTTATTCGCGGACGGAGTCGCAGGCGAAAGCTAGTATATAAGTATTCTTGATGACATGGAATATGTTTTGTCTGTCTAATTAAAAAAAAATCTAGTACGTTCTCTGTACTAAAATGAGTCTCAACTCTTCTTCTCTCTCTCTACATATCTCTTGTTAACTTGACATTGTTTTCATCCGATAAATCTCCCCTTTTCTAGGTCACTGAAGCCTTTAATATGCTTCATCGGGAAGATGTCTTACTTGGCGGGGGGCATGGCGATATCGATCAGGGGGCGTCAGGCAAGCCGGCGCGAGGCCCCCATCCTGGTCGTCGCCCCCCATTCCTCTTTCCTAGACAGCTGCATAGTCTATGCCACCAAGATGTCTTCAGTCATCGTTAGGAAAGAGAGCATGGACAATTATGTTGGAAGTAGGTGGTTTTTGGTTGTTCATTTGGTGGTTGGTTTAAATTGGTTGTTTATGGTGGTGGTTATGGGTTTCCGTTGATGGTTTACGGTATTCATATTAATGGTAATTTACTAGTAGTTTTGTGACTTCTTTTCACTAAACTATGTACTGCTTTAGTGACTAATTAATGCAGTTAATTGTTTATTTAACTTTCCTTAATATCATTTAACATTTATGTAATTAAGTTCTAACATTTTTACAATTATGTATTTATTATAGACGGGATCTAATAGAGAAAGTTGGTAGACGTAAATCACTGCCACATCGCAATTACAGAGAACCTAAAGTTTACTGAATTTGAACTCTATGTTTTATTGACACGCACAAACATCGCACAACTATTTTGCGATTGTCGATTGTTTCTCGACCCATTCAACTGTTTAGTTGCACAAATAAAAATCATATGCGCACCTCCATATAAGCTCGTAGGAATCAAAGCGAGACTAATCAGTTGTGCGATAGTTTAGCCAAAGGTGTGCACAACAAATCAGAAATATTTCACGTCATTTAGTATGCAAAGTATATTCAAGTTTTATTTCCCGAGATTTTAACGTAAACTGCAAGATAAAAATGTTGATAGCAATCACACAACCTCTACCAATGATAAAACACTTTGGTAACGTTCCAAGTTAGTTTGCTTAAGTTCACAAGATTCCGGGTAATTTTACACAACGGCAAGACTGCAGTCTTATCTGCAGATAAAACCCGTTAAATGAAAGATTTGAATTACAGTTTCTGGGAAACTAACGGAAGGTAAAAAGACATTGGACTTGAATTTTATGGGGTAATAATAATTATTATTACATTATAAGCAACACTGAAATTAAGGAACCTGAAAAAAGCTTACATTGATTGTAACGCCGCCATATACAGACTTCAGCAGTTAAAATGCAGCTGGTATACGACTTGAAGCAATCCGTTTATTATATTCCTTAAAATGTTTTGTTACTGATACATTGTATGTTACAATTAAGTTATATAAAAGAGAAAATTTAGTTTTTCATCTTGTAACATTGTAACGATCTAAGTGGTTTATAGCACTTGACTTTGATGTTCATCTATCTCTACTTAACATAACAAAGCATAAACACACTTCTTTGTAATATAGGATGTCAGCAATCACAGCATATTGTTGAATAATTCTTTCTTAAATAAAAACCTCTACACTAACGCCATGCTTTAGGCTATATATTTTTACGGTATTAAACATAAGAGAAGAATAATTTGAAAAAAGGACAAAAACTACAAGCCAATAGTGCCAATAGCCTAATGGTTTGGGGTACGGACTACCGATCTTGAGGTCGAGGGTTCGAATACTGCCATTCGACTATAGTGAACCATATCCTAGCACAGGCCTAGAGCTTAGTTGGCATGGTTAAAGGAAATATTAGTAAATTAACTAAAATCTACTAATATTACATTTAAAAAAAATAATAGCAAAGAATAAAAATTATCACGGTATCTGCCAATAGCAAAGGCCGGTGATGTCATTTGAAATTTTGAATTTCGACATTTGCATTTAAAAAATTTACGGAATGTAAACAATTAAATAATTTATTTATTATGTATGACGGATGAAGCCGCATGCGAGCATCTAGTTTATTGATACAATTCAAGATGCTTTTAAAGCGAGAAGTACTTTCGACGGCTTAACGGACAGAATTAGGTCGATGACTTCGAGTAGTTTACGACTTAACTATCTATTGATAAAAAAAATTGGAAATGTGTAACGCTAAAACTTAGACTGGTTTAAAGAAGGAAACGGATTTAATACTTTGTGAACAAAATCAGCAATCGGACGAATTATATAGGGAATCAATTATCGGGAATTCTCAATGTCTAAACACACACATAAAACATTTTGTCATAAAATAAACAAATATATGTCAGTAAGCGAGCACCTGCCAGTTACTGGCGCACGTATACACAAACCAGTATAATGTTTACGAGTATGAGACAAGGGCGTGTCAATGTTAAGCTTCCGACCTCTCCCTTAACTTACATATTATATAAAAATCTAATAAAAAAACAAACATCTTGTATTCCCCGAATTATTCTTAAATAATTAGATATCTAAGTTTTTGAACAGATTTTCACAAAGTGGAAACTCGAATTTTACTAAAATTGTAAGTGAAATTGGATGGACGGATGGATTGTTAGAGTTTGTAGCCTAAACTTCTGATCAGATCACGATAAAATTACAAAAACAGGCTACTTACTAAGTTTTAATTACGCGTGGATGGAGTCGCGGGAGAATGCTAGTTAATTCCATATTTAACTAATTTAATATTTTATAGTAGCATTGCGTCAGTTCAAGGCTTCAAAAGGTTCAAATATAACGTGCGTCATGCGATCCTATGGTTTCCTATAAGCGTAACTAACTAATAACCCTACTTTCAAGGGCGCGTTTTTAAGTTTGCATGTTCACAAATCGTTGATATAACATTTACGTCATACTGATAAGTTCCATAACGCTTACCTTCTTAATTCTTGATAAAGTTTTGGCACAGAACATAGTCTGGAAGAACACAGACTTCTTAGTATAATATCTTTCTGTACTTCAATCATATAGGGTACTAAGTTTTTTTATTCCGCACAAAGTCGCAGGTAAAACCTAGTGTTACATACACTTTGAACTAAGAACTCAATGTCTCGGATCTGTTGAAATTTCATTTATGAATACAAAAGTACAAAGTACACATACTCGTAGTATAATAAGAATCAAAGTTTATGACAGTTCGTTTGCTTCAGAATGGAAGTCCCATCACAAATATCGCGTATCACTGTTAAAAAACGTGTTATGTGCAGCATTTATGTGAAATTGCGAGCCGCTAAAAACTTTGAATGGCATTTTACATGTATGGTTGTTTGCGTGTCGTTTTGCCTTTCGGGGAGATTATCAAAGTATTTCTCTGGAAGTATGTGTGCCACGTATAATTGACGAGGTTCAATGACCTTTGGCAGATACAGCTGATGTCAATGATATTGGAGGTTAGTTTTATTTATAGAGGGAGATAGATGTTAAAATAGGAGGTAAATTAAGACATGACTCCAATTATGAAGCGTAAACTTTGTACTTCTATTTAAAGTAATATTGTCAATAGATAAACGTGTTTGCCTTAATTAAAGGTAATTTGGAAAAGTGCAAAATATTTAATTATTATAGTCAAATTTCGACCAATACGCGATCATCAATATAGCTAAAACAGTGTAAGCATTTGATGACCCATCCCTAACCGCGTCCCGCGTTCATTTGCTCAGTATTAGTTAACCCATAACGTTATGAGGACATCGGCAAAGTACATTAAGTGAATTAATCCGTTAAGGCTCTTGCCACATAAGTCAGTCATCATCACCAGCTCACTACGTCCCAACCGAAGGTCTCGCAGCCTACTCTAAGAAAAGGATGACTAGGCCATAGTCAACCACGCTGGCCCACTGCGGGTTGGTTTCACAAATCTTAGAATTTATTCGAGAATTGTGCAGGCATCACGATGTTTTCCTTCACCGTAAGAACGTCGGGTAAATTATGTACATATTAAATTCGAAAAATTTACAATCACATTGGTACATAGCGGGATTCAAACTCAAGACCTGTAGAATACAAGTCAAGTGCCTAAAACAACGAGCCCTGACGCTCCATAAGTCCTTAGGTATATACAAAAAATATAATTAGAACCTTTGTGATATGAAATTATAGTACTCGATATTAAGACTATTATTTGGTGAGGTCATGCTGGGTGTAATTTAAAATTCAATGGTTAACCGTAATGGAAAGCCTACATACATATGATAGAATACAATGTCATTATTGTACTATTGTTAAGATCGGTTTACATATGTTTTTTTTATACTATACGCTATAAGGCATACAACATACAAACAGGCAACTTGAATTCGACGAAATATTGAAGCAAACACTGCCCATAGACATCCGCTCTAGCAGATACGTTGCCTCCCATTAATACATCACATCTTTATACAAAAAGGGTGGGAAAATAGACTAAAATTAGGCCTCCGGCACGGTTACTCATCAGACTGTGACGGAATGACAGTTTGCCACGTGTGTTCTATGTGGTCGTGGTATTGCACCGGACGTGCCGCGATGTTATAGCGAGCTCTATCTTTGTTATGAAATAACTGTAGTTTTTATATAGCACTTAATGCTGATTAAGTACGGTTTCTGATGACATGATTGGATTATTTTCTAACAGAAACGTGAATGGATTGACTTTTCAATTGTACATTTACTGTTGGCAATTACTACGAGTATAATTGTATTCCTACTGTATTGTTTAGATGCTGTTGTGAGATTGAATGAGATGTTTTGTCGAGTCATTCACCGTTCAGTCGTTCAAACCAATCACTTGTAATGTTAAAAGCGATTCTGAACGCTTTCTACGTTTTTGTTTTGTTTTTTCAATGGATGACACGGTATTTATAAAGTTGTATAAACACTTCTTTTGTTAAATGACTAGCATAAGATTACTGTTTTTAATAGAAATAACGCCAAATAAGCTGTTTTTAAGATACTACCATAGAGTTAGAAACATTTAGAAAAGGTAAAGATTTCACGCGTAATTCGTCAGGCGGTTCGTTAGTTGAGTTTATACTGTTTATGTTTCTAAAAAACGCGGAAAAAATTTGAAAGTTTTTTACGAATTGGTTCAATTTTTTTTCTATCATTAGTCGATACGATCTCAAATGTATTTGGTCTCGCAATTCAACCATTACTCTGCGTAGCCATCATTTAAATTCAATTCTAGAGGTAATTTACTCTGCATGTTTTTTCGCAATTATTTTTTTGCACTTTTCAAATATTAGATAGCCAATTTAACGTCCTGTCTTATATAGTGGAGTACATTATTATACTATAATACAAATTGTCTTCAATTGAGATAAAAAAAGTACATTTAAATGTTCTACATTGTAGAGATGGATGTTTTTTCGGTTTAAATTTTTTATCTGTTACTATTTTTTTTCTTTATTTTTCTATGCGTATCCAATTGGTGTAGCAGTGACGGTGTTTTGTAATGTTTTTTTGTTTAAATGTTGGCAAGGTCTCAGCTATTGTCGTTTTAGCAAGTATATTTTAATGCAGAATTCTAGACCGTGTATAAAATACCTGACCTAATTCGGATTAGAAACTTTTTTAATATCCCACACGATTTTTAGAAGCAGGATTTAAATGTAAATAAAATAAGTCGGTTAAAGAACGGTTTATTGAAAGCTTGAAAAAAATAAATCTTTAGTAAATTCATAATAAGGTAATTAACAATATTAAGAGTAATGATTTAAAAAGTAAGAAAACAGAACTACGTATTAATACATTTCCACGTGTGGTTATTTTTAGTTTATTTACATTTTTGGCAACTATTTCCTTAGTAAAATGATTCATACTCAGAGTAAATAGTCTACGATGCTAATGCGTTTCTTAAAAAATGCTAAATAAAGAATTTTGTACAGGGGTCTATTCAAATCACTAATTATTTTATTAACTTCCATTTGTAAAGAAAACTTGAACATAAAGGTAAGTCTGAAAGTTTGATGCATGTTTCGAAATAATGCTTTGATTTTTGCTAAACTGTAAATTTGTACCAAGTTACGGTGGGTGTTCACTTCGGAAATCGTATAAAAATGTTATCACCCCCTATTTTAATAAATGAGACATCTTTGTACAGGAATATACAGTGGATACCCACGTTTAAGACCGCTAAAATTGGCATTAGCTGCACTTTTGTAGCTTCTTGTAAACAGCAAATGCAATTTTCTTAAACACGTTTAGTTTGGTATTTTGCCAGAATTAGTTGCTTGCTTTTAATCCCATGTATTTCGATGTTAATTTCGTTTAACGAAAATGTATACGATTCATACATTCCTTAATATTAAAAAAAGTAAAAGATAGTTTTAATTTTAATGGTTACAAAAAATTAAAAAGCTATATCTTATATTGTCTTTTAATAAAATCATATAACATCTCTATTTAAAAAAATCACCAAATCAAGTACCAAGACATATAAAGTTGTTATAAATTCTATTCTCAATTTCCAGAATTGATCAACTACACGCAGCCGGTGTACGTGTGGCGAGATGACCCTAACTCACGTCAGAACACCATCAAAGAGATTATTGAAAGAGCCACATCTAAGGAAGACTGGCCTCAGGTACTAACATAACATAGAAAATATTAAAAAACAATACAAAATAACAATCTAAAAAAGTAAAAATAGGATCCACCTGAAAGTACTCATCATTATCCACTCGCCCTTATCCTTTACGGAGTGTCAGCACAGTATGTGCTGCTCTTCCATACATCTCTATCAGCCGTCATATTTGAATCCACCTGAAAGCACTACCTTTCGAATAAAAAAACAGAAGAATTGATAACCTCCTTCTTTTGGGAAGTCGGTTAAAAATTTAAGCACAGTTAGTGTGTTCACTGTCTCTTTTTAATTATATTTTCGTATCATTTTATTTTTTGTATTACTTATGTACCCAACTGTACAATCAAGATAAGTACAGTCAACCCCGGAAGATGTTTTCAACTATAACCGCAGTTCGACAATGAACTTGTGTCCTCGAACGAAGGTTGCTAATCGATACCACTTAAACATAATTTGTTAAATTATTAACGAAACCGGTTTCGTTTTTGTTAACTTAGATGCTAGAATTACAAGGGCACAGTCTAGAAATGACATTTGAAGGCTGATTTCTAGATTAAAATAGATCTTACAGAGTTCAAAAAGAAGATTTTAATTGTTTGTACAAAAAATATACACATATATATTAATAAAACCTCATTCAATTTAAGTAAGTTTTTTTACTAAATAAAACTTAAAAGGTTTCCCGTTGGGCCGATCTGCCTAACAAACAATTGGTCCGATGTGATTTTTTTATCCCATTGGGTCGATGCATTCTATGGGTTCTGAAGGCGCTAAGAAAACTTAAGCCACTTGAAAAGTTTTCAAAGTTTTGAATTATCTAACTTCAAAATGAATGACGAACGATGAATGGTGAAAGACGAATGTAACATTTCCAGGTACTAATATTCCCGGAAGGGACATGCACGAACCGTTCCTGCCTGATTACATTCAAGCCGGGCGGCTTCTACCCCGGCGTGCCTGTGCAGCCCGTCACTATCCGCTATCCCAACTCCCGGGACACCGTCACCTGGACCTGGGAAGGTCCTGGCGCGTAAGTATACCACTATTATTAACCCTGATTTTACTAAATAACCAGCAATACTAAAAAATACAATGATACGGCATAAATTTTATCAACAGAAGACCTTGCGATTTTATCTGATGAACTCATGATTCAATTTACAAAAGAAGAGAAGATTTGTCAAGTAATTTTGTGATTATCATTCAATTTATTAGTAACTATCTGTTGCTCGCGATCCACGTAAAATTAAAAAAGTAGTAAAAAATGTTCTATACTACTCAATGATAACATAGCTTTTTAATGGTGAAAGAAATTTTAAAATCGGCCCAGTACCTTTTGAGTTATTTCAATACATACAAAAATCCAAAAATACAGAATTTCCTAGTAAGTGCATCAAGAGTGCATCAGAAGAACATATCAAAGTGTTATTTCAGTTTGAAATTGCTGTGGCTGACGTTAACTCAAGTGCACAGCTCATGTGAGATAGAATTCCTGCCGGTCTACTACCCCAATGAGGAGGAGAAGAAAGACCCCAAGTTGTATGCGAGGAATGTTCGAGATGTTATGGCGAGGTATGCTCCTTTAACTTCGGTCTTTTGAGATTTAACAGTAGACTTAAAAAGAACAAAAGACCAGCAACTTGTAAGCTACTAGCTTTCCCATGTAGCCTTTTTGTTCTTCTTGATTATGCTCTACATCTATGTCAAATTTCATCCAGATCTTTTCAGCCGTTTAGGATATAAACTCTAAAAAACATCTATCCATCTAAACTTTGACATTTATAATATTAGTAAGGTTTAAGATAATCCCCTGAATTCTTGCATTTTAATATAGTAGTCTTCTTTTTCTTCCGTCTTTTGTTGGTCTTCTGACTATACATAAAAAGACCGGGAAAATACCATCGGAATATCAAAATGAACAGTACAAAAGACTTTTCTTCGGTGTTTGGTGTGACGTTTGTGGTGTTAGGGCTCTGGGCGTGCCAGTGCTGGACTACACGTACGACGACTGCCGCGTGGCGGCGCGCGCCAAGCAGCTGCACATCCCGGGCGGGGCGGCGGCCCGGGAGGTCAACGAGGCTCGCCAGCAGCTGGGGTCAGTAGACAACTCTTTATCATGTTACGAGTGTTACTCTTGTATGTTTTTAACCGACTTCAATAAAAATAAGGTACTAAATTCGTCTGTATACATTATTTTACTTGTGTTATGGCATATCTTCGTCCCTGTTGGAGCGATTTTAAAAATTCTCTTTTTATTCGAAAGGTAGTGTTTGCAGGTGGGTCCCACTTTTTTTTTAAAAACTACGGTGTAGTTAAATAGTTTAGCTCCAAATCTCGTGACGATAATTAAGGTCTTTTTGCTTTCTTTGCTTACGTAGCTTAAACTATAAGACTTGCATAAAAATGATGTATGGAAGAATTGTAGTTCTTTAAATTTGCTAAATTAAAGTCCGCGATAACTTACAGTTATCTATCTAATAAAGTCGCATAATAACCGTTTGTTTTCATAAGAAACATCAATCCACTTTACGACGCTTTCATTCTTATGTGGTATGAATCCTTATTACGATATTTTGGAACGTATTACAGTTGGTTTTTGGTGTTTTAAAATTAAAGTTAGATTATATTGTATGGTTATTTTTACGAAGTA